ATGCGATTTAATTTTTAATTAGATAATTTTTTATTAATGTTGATTAATTAATCGCAACCAAAGTGACTTATACGTTGGCCTTTGCTATGTTTTTTTTAAAAATCGGATACAATCTTGTATAAATTTTAAAAATGGCAAATGTTAATGAATAGTGGTGACTATCACCAAAAATAAATTTACTGCAAAATTATTTACTTGAAAATTTTTTCTCTCTCTCTCTCTCTCTCTCTTTCTCTCCCCGTGGAAAGAACTTGAAAAAATTATGAGGAAGTAATTTTTTGTTTTTGTTTGTGAGTTTGACTCCATTAAGGAGTATGAAAATTCGTTACATAAAATTTTTTCTTTTTTTGTTTTTCTTTTTATGTAAGCCTACCTAACTCAAAAAAGTGATGAATTACGGCAAAGCGCTTACGTAAAAAAAAAAAAAAAAAAAAAAAAAAATGCCAATTGTTATTATTATTATTATTATTTTAAATATTAAAATGAATCAGATTTGTTTTTAAAGTCGTTTCTCAGAATTTAAAAAAAAAAAAAAATTATTAATATTATTATTATTAAACGGGAGGAGAGAACTTGTTTTTTTTTTTTTTTTGGTCACTCTGAGCTATGTAACCTTGTGTATCCGTGGTTGTAATTAATTTATTTTGATGTGATTCAAATTGAATTCCTTTTAAAATGTGTAATTATTTCACTGTTAGTAATTTTTGAACTGTGACTTTATTAACTTTCAATTGTTGCTTTTTTTTTTTTTTTGTTCACATTTACATTATTTCGTTTGGCATAATTATTTAAGCTCGTTTAAAAAAAAAAAAAAAAAATTTCTCAAGGGATTTTAAATATTAAACTTTTCGTAAATTTCCGTAAAACGTTTAGTTTTAGTAAAAAGTACTAAATTAAAAAAAAAAAAAAAAAAAAAAAAAACTAAAACTTTCACACACACACACACACACGCTTAAAAATGAGCCATCCTTTGTTACAGTAAGCATATACATCATCAATTGTGAAAATTTTCGAATTTGCCGTAAAAAAAAAGTCGATAAAAAAAAAAATTAATATTTTGTTCAAAGTATTGTTTTTATTAGTAATTATTATTATTATTATTATGTTACCTTTTTATTAAAAACTTAAAATTAGATTAAAATTAGAAAATTTTTATTTGGCTGAAGGGGAATTTGTATTTTTTTTTTACAATGTGGATCGGTTTGAATAGAATTTGTGTCTTTTTTACATTCGCGAAAACAATGATAATTGATTGGCATGTAGGATAAATTTAAAATCAAAATCAAATGAGTAATTATTATGTAATAATTTGTAAATTGTTTATGTAGGGATGTCAAAAATTAATAATTGAATTTTAAAATCTATATTTATTTTTTTTTTTTTTGGTGTAAAATATTGCGATTAAAAAAAAAAAAAAAAAAAAAAAACAAATCATATCATTTTGGCCATTATTGTTTGTGATGTAAAAATAAATTGAATATTACATAAACGTACAAATTGTTAAAATATTAAATATTCCCATAAAATAACACATAACGTTCAATTTTATAAGTTTTATGTTCGTAATCAAACTCGTCCGATGAGTTAAACTTGATAAATTAACAACTCTCGAATTATTCGTTTTATTTATTTTTTTATTATTTTTATTTTTTCTTAATGGCAGTCGCGTGTACTTTTTTAGTTAAATGAAGTAACGTAAATTTAAGTTTTTTTTACATAATTGTTAACTTATTTATTATTTAAAAATCGTATGGATTCAGCGAGAAATGTTACTGTTTTTACACCTTTAAAACTTTTAACAGGAAGATGCAGTCTCTAATAATAATAATAATAATAATAATAATAAAAAAGTAAAAGAAGGGAATTTCGTAGGCAGTTTTAGAATTATCTTATTTACTAACTAATAGTACCAACTTATCTATTCACTAACTAATACGACGTTATCACCTCTTTTTCTACACTTTTTGTGTTTGTGTTCGTGTCATGTCTTACATTCGGTAGATATTACGTAAATTATTATTATCATTATTATTATTTTTTTTTCTTTCAAGAAAAACTTATTTAAAAAATATATATGTGTGTGTGTGTGTGTGTGTGTGTGTGTGTGTGTGTGCGTGTACAGGAACGCAAATGAAAATATTTACATGTAGGCACGTAGGTTTTAATGTGGGTGAACCGGTGCTACTAAATACTACAAGTACGTTTGACAATATTGTTTTGTTTTGTGTGTGCGTTTATTAAATGGAAAACAACGTTTCCCGCTAATAAATTAATCGTATAAATAAATTTTGGAAAATTTAATTTTTTCATTTTAATTTTCTTCTTTCGTTTGTAAACATTCGCTTTCTCTTTTTCTTTTTCTTTTTTATGTTTATACACGGGAG